TTGTCCGCCAAGGCTTGGATGGGAAGAAATCACCTAATGTTTTTGCATAGTTGAATATGATGCCTTATGGTTCTTAACCTACATTATTATGGAAAATTTTGTTAGCTACATGTATAAAGGTTTTGAGTAAATAATGTTGAAGTGTCTGTGTTCCCCTCGTCCTTTAACATTTCTGGGGTCCCAGGATGGGTAAGAGATGCATTTTATTTATCTCCCACTAATATGTTTCCATTGCTTGGTTGTTTTCACAGCCTGTCATTCCAGTTTCAATATCAAGAGTTAATCAGGTAGATGCAGCAAGATTGGACATCGAAATGTCGGCCATGCTAAAGGAATAGTTGGTCAAGGTTTTCTCTTTGATGAAGGTACATGTAGTGCAACTTTCTAACTTACCAGGGAATTCACCTCTTCATTATTTGTGATCTGATAATAATTGATATACATTTAATTTCCTTTTGTTTCTTCCCTTTGGGTTAGCCAGGAATGTATTTCAATATGAGCCAGAACTTGATGCTTTCTTGGAGTTCCTTATCTGGCATTTTTCTGTCTGGGTTGATAAGCCTACACCGGTAATGCTCTAATGAATTTGAGGTATAGAGATGAACGTGCGGTTGAAGTGAGAGGAAAAGGTTAGATATCGTCTCTTAATTAATCCTTTTTTCACTTTGTGCAGCTAACAAACGCTTCTTTATTTACTGTTCAAAAAGAAAAAGGTTGCTCTTATAAAAAATCCTTTTTTTCTATATTAATCAGTTGGATGCTATGTTGTTGTTTGCACTAATTTCACTATTTTCTTCAATTGCTGGCGTTGAAGTTGTTCAAATTTGGGACATTTAATGTTTGTACGTCTAGGGAATTGGGACGTGAAGAGAATAGTTGTTGAAAAACTTATTAAATACTTAACCAGATAATGGTTCCATCTCACTTGTAACAGATTTTCTTCTTCCGTGGTCAGATCTGAAAACATTCAAGTCCACATTCATTACCATCCATGGATTCGCTCTCATAGATTACTTGAGATAGATTGAGATATGTGAGATCTGTAAATTTTTACTTTTATATAAATGCTCAAATATTCAGTAATTTGAGAAGTCCATATAGTATTTATTAAGCGTATAATACTATAATATGGAGGGACTTCAGTGATTGGCTTGAAATCTTGCTCGTTTTAATTTGTACGTGAAGTTGCTAAGGTTGCCAGCTTGACTTAATTGAATTTCACTTTTGATCTTGTGCCTCTTGCACCAGTACATAATACCAACCGCAGTTTTACTTTTCGGCATATGTTAGTTCAGAAAGGATTTGGTGGACGTGGTCTTACTGTTGCTCAGAAGATATGGTACTGTGTCGCTACTGTTGGTGGGAAATGTATGTTGGCCCGTCTTCAATCATTTTCTGCTTTTCGAAGATGGGGCAACTCTGAGCAGGTATAGTCCTCTTCCACTCTTATCTCACTTGTTCGGTTGCATGCATGCTCGAGTAGAAGTTACTCATTACTGCTCTATATATTGAGATAAGTAGAAGTAGTATGTCATGCATTTGGTATAATGGAATTTGGTAGATCTTCCCTTAGAAGGAACGCAGTGCTCATTTTAGAACTATTTAATGATATTGGGGAAGCATGAAGGCTCAATGTCAAAAAGAGGTTAACTTTTCCTGCTTCTGAGGCTACATAAATTTGAAATGGTTCAATTTTGATCTCTTGTTGATATGTTGTCGATTCAAATTTGGTCATCCAAAATAGAATTGTTGCACTCGTAATTTTATGCTACAAATTTGAACAGGTAAAATAGTTACTTGCAAGTGTCAATTGTACGATGAAACATTGACTTGTTAATCTTGTGGCTTCTTCAGAGTTCTTTGGCACGCCGAGCATAGTTGTTAATACAACGGGTTGAAGGGATCTATAAAGCAGCCTCTTTAATAATCTACTTCTCTTTCTTTGTACAGGAAGGTATATCTCTGACTGTAATTCTTATTTCTTTCAAAAGCATGCTCGGAAGTCCTATTGCATAAAAGAGATGTAAATTGCAAAATAGTCTTTTGTTTCTAGTTTTCATTTGGTGTTTCTTGAGACCTCAATTTTTTCCCCCAAAGATTGGGTCTCCTTTTTTGAGAATCATATTTTGATGTAGGTTCTCTCTTTCGGTACACGGCTTGTATATGGGGTTTTCCTCCAATTGTTAATATAATTATTTACCTAACAAAAAGAAAATCAGTGCACTAGCTTAGCAATGGATATACGTGTAACAAAAACAGAGCTGCAAGGCTGTGTGGTGCTTTATCATCTGTGTTTGCTGGATTTTGTTATTGGTTGCCTACTAAGTCGAGCCAAGCACATTTTTGAAATTGCTCTGTCCTATGAAACCAAATAATTTTTTCTGGGACGGCTTTGTTGGCCAGGAACCGTGAGAGACAGAATATTGAGGTGATTCCACAATAACAAGAAGTTAATGATGATGTTCCAGAGCATTCTTTGCCTCACACAGAGGAAATCATAAAATAGCACAAAAAAAGGGTAAAAAAAGACTTTTTAAGTTAGAAAAGTTAGTGATATTCTTGGTAGAAGGGTTCCGTGCATAGGTTGATTGCTGTGAGGGTCCTGTACGTGTGACCTTTTAAAAAGGGTTGAACTGTTGAGCGTGTTCCCTGCATGTGCTGACTTCTATGAGTGTTCTGTACATTTGATCTTTAGATTGACTGGAATTAAAAATGTAATACTGAAGTTAGACCCTGCCGCAGACAAAAGCATGGTATTTAAGTGGAGGGTAGAAAATCTAGATGCATTACTGGTAGCAGGGATTAACTGTCGAGCGTACCCGATCATTGACTGCTGTAAGGATACTATGCATGAGATCTTTTGAAAATGGTTTAACTGTTAAACATGGGTTGGCTACTATGCATGAGATCTTTTGAAAATGGTTTAACTGTTAAACATGGGTTGGCTGTTACAAGTGTCCTGTACATATGGCTTTCAGATTGGCAGGAATAAGAATATAACATCCTATGTATTTTGGGATTTACTGGTTACTCTACATGTACCAATGACATGCAGGTATAGGAATCTCATTGAAAGAGCTTTTAGAGCTAGATTTGTTTATGGCAGCCCAAATATGAACAGAGCCGAGCTTCGAGTACATGAATTGCCAATTGGTGTGGAATGAATTCTCTGTAATTTTCCATCCATTAGCAGAGTGTTGCAGAATTTATATGTTCATTCCCGAAGAGGGGAATATTGATGACAAGTTATCTCTCTGTGTCTGCAATTTAGCTATCTATCATCTGTTAGAAAAGAGGTCCTTCACCTTATAAAAAAAGGGCTAGGGGCCAGAAAGAACATCCCTTTGCTTTTGTACATGCTGCGAAAGGGCTAACAGATCTTGTTTTCCAACTTATGTCAGCCTTCTTTTGTTGGCGGGTATGGGTATTGGGATGGAGCTCGAAGTTGGTCTTTTGCAGTAAAAGCTTATAATTACTTGTTTGGTATTTTATGTTTTTGACGAGTGCATCTGTTTTAGCAAACACTATGGATGGAAGTACGTTCTTTTGTTATCTTTTTCAAAGAACTTAATGGAAGTACATTATCAAATGTTCTACTGTGCAGGAATTGCTACTCTTGCTTCTTCCCGTTCTCAATTCATCATCCATCAAGAATTTTCTTCTTCCATTCTCAAAGGATAAATCTTCAGATTCTTCAGTGGATGACACTTTGTGCTCAATCTGTCAAGGAAACCCAACCATTCCATTTTTAGCTATTCCTTGTCAGCACAGGTACATGTATGCATGCTTACAATTTTACAGTAGAATGAAGATACAGTGTATCTTTCAAATGTTCAACCATTTAGTAGAAACTCTATTATATCGAAACCTTAATCAAAGTACGAACTGAAGTTTAAAAGAATTAGTTGATTTCACTGACATTACAGAACAACAATCTTTTGCTTATGCAGGCATATTGTATACATGGAGGCATGGGCTATACGTAGGTGTAATTTTGTAGATTGCAAACAAAATAGAACACTTCAGGGCTGTTTAGAAAAATGTTTTATATTAGCCGAGCCTCACATCCTCCTGTATTTTTTCAATGAACTTCACATCCTGTGTTTTATAAACAACCATGGCACCAAAATTTAGAGCAAGTTAAAATTTTATTACAAGAAGTGAAACTAGGAGAGAACTTTACCTTACCATTCATTTTCGAAAGAAGTCAGGACTTTACCCAAGAAATGTATCAAAAGATTGAAAAAATGGCACATGGGGATAGATCTGATACCTATAAGAACTACCTAATATAACTAAATAGTCGCTTACAGACTAAGTTTAGACGAAGTAACTCGAATATCTATGGTAGTCAGTCAACTATTAAGGCATAGTAACTGTAGATATTGCAGAGGGGATATCTTGCTTGTGCATTCTCTTATCATCCATTTGGGTTGACATCATTCATGTGTCGATTTATTGCTCTAGTGTTAGTAACTGTTGTTCATGTGAGTTTTATGTATCTTCATCACTATACAGCTACTGTTACTACTGTCTTCAAACACGGTGCTCCGCTGCTCCGTCTTTTCATTGCCCCCAATGTGGCGAATCGATTGCTGCTATGCAACGACATGGTGGTTCGGTCAACAACATTAGTCAGATACAATAATTCTCTTGAAAGGTGAAACGAAATGACGGGAAAGGCAAGCTTCAGTCAAACTATGGATCAAAAGTTGCCAAAAGATAACATAGAAATTGAACTAGGAATCAAGATTCCTTGATAAAGCAACTTCTTCTGCTTTTTTGAGTGCATTCATTTGTTAAAGTTTCTTGTCTTTTTTAATGTAGCTTTACTTTCCTATAATCTCATTTATATGTCTATCTTTAAGATTCTATTAAAAGTTTGATCAGTCACAGGTCACAATTGATTCAATATTTTTACCAGATGGCTCAAGCAGTCCTTTTTTTTTAGCTTTTTTTCAGGGTAACTTCCTAGTTAAACCAAACAATGGAAAAGAAAGGTAAGAACAATCCTACACTTCCTTACATATTCGAATTGCAAGCCAGTGTGCTGTGTTTTGAATCTGCATGTAAAGTTGCCAAGTGATGTGCAGGTTATAATACTTTTATTTTAACTGAGAATTGGCAGCTAAATTTACCAGTTGCTGATACTGTAGCGAATGTTTGTAGCAGTTGAAATTTTTGAGCAACAAAAGTTCATCATAACGTATGATTTCGTGGGGACTTGTAGTCCACTAATCCTTATCTTTTTTTTTTGGCCTTCTCTGGCCTTGTAGGTGAATGAATTATAGGAAATTACGCTCAATGATCTTGAAAATGAGTGATCTTGAACTTTTGACCCTGCTCATCTCATTGACAAATTTTCATGATAAAATGTGAAATTTGAAGTTTTGCCCATGGGAAAAGCGAGGTCCAAAGTACAATAACCGCCTACTTCCAAGCTGTAAATCATCCAATGAATTGCATTGAAGGTAAGACATCTCTCTTTCAGCATCATAATTCTTTTTTCCTCCCTTTTTTGGTTGGGTCTACATGGTCAAAAAAGCTCAATAAAAACAACACCTGTCCTTGAATATATATAGCAGTCTGAGGTCGAACGCAAGTTAGGATAAAAAGGGTGCTTTAGTTATTGGAATTATGTTATAGTTTCAATTAGACTCATGATTAGATCTGAATTTGTCTTACCTGCTATAGTTACTAGGCCCAATATTTGAAATCAGTTGTTAGTTTTTGTAATAAATCAATTTAAATGGTCCAGCAGTAATAGCTAGTTTCATTTCAAATACTTAATAAGAGTGAAAAACGAAGACTTTATATGAATCCTTGAGCAACCAGCTGAGAATAGGAATAAAATTTGCAAGTGTTGGTAAATGGATGGGTCAGTGGCATCCAGATAGGCCAAAGAGGGCAGCAACGTACACAAGAACAACCCAGACACATGTCGACAAGACAGAGTCATAAGTTTCACTAAGGGATTCAAAAATCTGAATAAGTGAACATACTAATTTTCTTTGTATAAAAATTAATTTTAATCATATATAAATAATATAATTTTCTGTTGAAGGAGTTCAGATGAACCCTGACTAAGTTAGTTCCACCCCTATTCATAATTTAAAATATATTAACTCAATTCACTGTCAAATATTTAGTGAAGTTTTTAATATACATACAAAATCAAGGTAAAAATTATATATTATACTGTAGACCCGCCCCTATTCCCAAATAGGCAAACATCAAATATAAAATGTGATGGCCACCATAAGGATATATACTTTTAATTATCCATCGCACACACAAATACAGCAAGGCAACTGCACGCGCAAATTTGCTTTTGGTTAGTTAATTCAAATTTTCTAAATTTATATGCTGCACTAAGTTTCTATTGCATATCAAGTTGCAAATATTTCATGTTTTAATTGTGTAAAGATAACATAATACATCAACCAAAACAAATGGTATGATTTGACCTAATAATGTATAGTAACTTTTTATGCTATCAAATTAAGATGGCCTACTAATCCTCATATGGTATATTGAAAAATAAAATTAAAAGCCTGCAATAATATTAAGGTAACATAAGAAATAAAATATGAATAAATTAATGATTACTTGGGAAAAGAGTAGGCTATCCTTTATTAGAATCTATGTAAATATTAGGAGAAAAATAACAATCCCAAAGTTACCACCCCAAATTAAGGAATTAAAACCCCACGAGTATTTGTTTTTTTATGGCCTGAAAACACTCCCCCACTTTCCCTTTTCTTGCCCCCACCCTTTACTATAAAGCTAAAGCAAGAAATTTAAAAACACAAACAAGTATATACTACCCTTCTTTTCCATTTATGTTAACATATTTTGAAAAATATGTAAGATAAATCTTAAATATGTCATAACATTTGTATTAGAAACGAAGTCTAGGATAGTAAAACCTGATAACAATAAAATAACACTAGAGAAATAATTCAGTAGTGATATACATAAAATTTTGAATAAAACTTCCTCGTTGAAAAATAAAATGAGAAGGTGTGGAAGTATTTTTTTTCGACTTTATAAGTATGTCAGTCTTTTTAAAACCGACTAAAAAATAAGTGTGTCACATAAATCGAAGAAGTAATTAGAGAGGAAAAACAAAAAATAAAAAAGCATCAAAGCAATTGTCAACCCCACAAGTAAGAAACACTACCAAGTAAATATAAGGCTAGTACTTTGGTTGAAAAAGACATATTGGTTTATTGAACCTCTTATGAGAAAAGCAAAAACAAGGCTGAAAGCTTCAACAAAGTTTCGTTTTGGTGCTCTCACAAGGAAAGAAGACAGACAAAGCTAGCTACCTAAAAAGAAAGAAAGAAAAAGAAAATCATTGAAAAGGATTTATTTTTCTTCTTCTTCTTCTTTCTTTATATTATGTGGCTCTTACATTAAAGTAAGAAAAACAATAATACTATATAGTATATGATGTGTTGTTCTGAATAATCCTTCTTGATGGCTGGAAACCCTAGTAATAACTGGTGGAACAACATGTTGATGAACACAAGCATGCATCCACATGAATCTCATGAACTTTCTTCTTCTACGACCACGACTCAACATTTCTATGGATCTTCAAATTTTTTGGCTGATAATAATCCAAGTCAAGATCATTTACCTCGCTCATGGAGCCAGCTACTTCTGTAAAATCTCCTTCTCTCTACTTTTTTTTTCTTCTCGTACATAGTTAGTTATATACAGTCAACTTGTTTGAACCTGAGGCGCAGTAATTTCTGTTGACTTCTTGTTGTTGTAGTGAGTTTGTGTAGAGTTCAAAGATAGTAGTCTTTGTAAGTTTTTCTCATTGAAACTTTTACATTTACCGAACAATATAAAAAACTCAGTTACTTTCCTATTTTTAAAATTTTCATGCTGAGTTTTTAATTTTTTTGAGTTTTATCGATCGATATAAATATTATAAGTTGTCTCACAGTAAAAATCAATTTTGTTATAGATACCTTCTTCTTCGTCTTTTTTCTATAACCAAAGCTCGAAGAAGTAAAGGAATTTGGACAACAGAATGTGGTTAGAAATTCATAATAGAGTTTTGTCCGACCACCACAACGACTAAACCTAGTAGAAAAAAAGAGTGAAAAATCATTACAAAAGAAATCTATAGCTCCTTTATATTTCTTTTCTATCAAATTGGAATCCATATGAATTATTTGTTAAATTAATTTTAATTCTCCTCTAAATTACTTCTTTCCTTTTTAATTAAATTTCAGGTCTGGATTATCTTGTGATCAAGAAAAACCTGATATAAGTGATCATTTTCAACATCAATACAAGAAGCTGGAGAATTGGGAAGAAATCCAAAATTTGAATTCCATCCATAACAATAATATTATTCCATCTAATTCAAGTTTTAGGGTTCCTATTTTTGATGTAAAACCAGAAGAATTAGTGAGCCAAAGACTGTATAGTAATTACCATCATGATTTATCACCAGCTAGCTCTTGTGTTACCACTAATTTAAACCATAATAATATTTTTAACTTCTCATCATCTCCTGCTAACAAAATTACCAACAGTAACAAAGTGGTTGAAGTCAAGCATCAAGACCATTCATCTGAGGTAAGTAAAAAAAAAATTACTTTTAAATAGTGGATTCTTTTTTTCATATTTATTGATTTTTCATAAGTCAATAAGTACAATATCAGTATTATTCTAAAAGGAAAAAAGTGATTTTTATGATTAATAAAAGCCAAATAATCCATGATTAGCCTAACTAATTTTAGTCATAGTAAAATTTTAATTACTCAGTGAATTTTAACATGTGACAGTAGTCTAGTTACTATTTTTCACTAGGTTACTAATTAAGTGCTGTATTTGTTAAGAGATTTATTCGTAATTATATAATAAGTGATCTGACTTTGTGAAAACATTTTTACATCATTTTAGTATGTTTTGCCTAATCTGTTTTTTTTTTTATAAACCATTATTAATTAATATATTTACTGCATGAAATAAAGTGTAACAGCACAAGCAATGGTGGGGTAACTAAGAAGGCTAGAGTTCAACATTCTTCAGCTCAACCCTCTCTCAAGGCAATTCTCTCTTTCATATACTGTAACATGTTTGACTATATATTTTTTATGGAATCTGAATCGTTCGTTCATCTAGTTTACAAAATATATATATACATACACAATATATACATTGATAGTGTATATATAATGTATACTTGAACCATACCATTGGTCGAAGGATATATATTCGTAATTTTCCTAATTTTTTTTAAAAAACTGTTATAGAAAATATATAATATGAAAATTGGTTTTATGAAAACTTGTTTTTTTTTTTGGCTTTCGCCTGGTATTAAAAATAGTTAATCATCTAACATTAATTTAGTTTGTTTATATTCGGAATTGCAGGTGAGAAAAGAGAAACTAGGAGATAGGATAACAGCACTCCACCAACTTGTTTCTCCATTTGGAAAGGTAAAATAAATTGAGTGAAACTTTATATATACATCTAATTTTTATTTTGTCATTATTTTTACATGTTCCTTATAACAGGTAACTTGTCTTATTTTTAAGATTATATATTATCATATTTTAAGGAGACTAATTACGTAGACGATGATGTTATGAATAAAATTTATTATATTGATGTATATAAGTTCAATTGAACCTAATATTTTAAATGTGTGTTTTGAAAACCTACTAAAATTATTATATAATTTCAAAAGTATAATAAATCTTTTGATAAAAATCATAAAAATTGAATTGATTAAATTTAAATTTTAAACTCGTCTCTATTCGTACAATATTTTAATTCTTGTTGCTTAGCCTCCTTCCCATAAGGAAGACAAGGAAAGAATTTATGACTGAAATACTACAGATTATATTTATATATATATATATTTTTGTAGTATTAATAGAAGTTTATGAAGAAACAAATAAAAATGAAATTACAAAAACAGCACTTTAATTTTTGTTTAATAAATAGCCAAAAAGGATTGTCTTTAAGTAAAGTGATATATGATGAGAAAAAGAAGAAGTGATAGGCATGGGTATATATGTTTCTCTTTTACAGACTGACACAGCCTCCGTCTTGTCAGAAGCCATTGGATACATCAGATTCCTTCAAGCACAAATTCAGGTGACTTCACAAAACCTAATTTCTAAATTTTCTTAATTACAAAAATTATCAATTTCTTTTTATAATTACGATATTCGTGTTATCTGAAACATACTCTTACACTAATTTTATAATGATATTTGTTATTTTCTATCAACATTGGAATCAAGTAACTTTATGAAACAAATTTGAATCGATAGAAAGAATATATTTGCCTCCATTGAAATTAGAAACTGCGATATCAATAACCATTATTTTCTCCTCTTACTTTATACTAGTATCGTACCATTTTTATATGCGACACTCTTTTCAATTTAGTCTGTTCTAACATATTTCTATACTAAGTACAATTTAATTTTAAAATATTCATTTTATCCTTAATGAAATGATTTATAGCCATTAGAATATCTATCGCTTATGTTAAACCATGAACTTCATAATTCCTAATTCTTTTCTTAAATTTTTACCGAGTTAAACTAACTTATATAAAATGAAACAGAACGAGTATGACATATATGCAGTAGTTTCTTTTCCCTCTTTGAGCAGCTTTAATTTAGTGTGGTGCACTAAAACATGCAGGCATTGAGCTCTCCATACATGGGCAATGTAGCAGGAAGCATGGGTCACACTCAACAACAATCTGCTGTAAGAGCTAATACTTCTTTTCATTCACATTTTCCAATAAAAAATCACCAATATTCTCTTCTTTCACATCCATCATACACGTGCATCTCACTAATCATATTATATTATATATTTTGGATTAACTAATTTCTTTCATGAATTCAAGGAAATAAAAATATTTATATAGTACTACTAATTAGTTGTTTAATTAAGAAGTTGATGCTTTATTGGATCCCTAACAAAAAAAAAGCAAGCTTTGAGATTGAGGCTAGCTTTGCATTATTAGTAGTAAAAAAAAAGCAGAATCAATGTAAATATCATCAAAATTTACTATTCAAAAAAGAAGTTGTGTCCTATATATAGTGCAAAAGTTGCCAACTTTATAAAATCATCATTCAATTCCTTCAAATGATCCTATGAATAAAAACTTAACTATTATCCTTCACAATAACTTTGAAGTGAGTCCTTTCATATATATATATATATATATACACGTCAGTTTCGAGCTAAAGTTACTGAATTTTATCGTGTTCAAAAGCAGAACCATAGCTCCACCCATTTTATCTTAGTTATAGCTCCACCCATATATATTTATCATTTTGGATATATTTTCTCATAATATGATAATTTGGAAATAAAATTATTTCAGGATTTGAGGAGTAGAGGGTTGTGCTTGGTTCCTATATCTTGTACACAACATGTTGGAAGTGACAATAACAATACTGTTGGAGATTATTGGGCCCCAGCTCTTGGAGGAGGAGGATATTTATAATTAATAATTAATAATTAATGTAACAATTTTAGTGTTGCATAATATACTGATGTGTTGATCATGATGATGATAATTATATATATTATATAACATCAGAAGCAGTCACTCTCAAATAAGTTAGTTAGGTTTGACTGTTGCTGATGCTATATATTATATTTTGCATTTCTAATTAAGTGTAGGAAGGAACAAGGATAACACTCTTATGATATGGTCCAATATTGCAATTTTATTTCATGAATAATCATAAAATTGTATAAGCTAGTTTGTATTTGTTGTGTATAACATTAGAGTTCATTTAGCTTTATCTGATTAAAAACAATTGACATATCTGCTATAGTATTTCTGTGTTGAAGCTGATTTTGTACTACGTGTTTAAATAAAAGTGTTGAAAACGAATATAAGCATTTAAGTTTGATACAACAATAAACTAAATGACTAACATATATGTATAGGATTTTAAGTTACTACGATTAAATTGTGTGGTAAACTCATTTGAACAGTTTAGAGTTGACTTTTGTGTTTGCTATTTTGAGTTAAATAAAAGTTAAGTACTTAATGCTTTCCCTAATTAACCAGTGAATTATTCGATATTAGTAGTAATTTTGTGTGGAAATAAAATGTGCATTGGGCTAGTGTATATAGGTATATCTTATCTATTCCTCGTTGAGGTAGAAAAATGATTTTACTCAGTCTTTTCACTGTTAATTCAAGTACAACAAATCAAAAATGAAAAAAAAAATAAAAACTCGATTTTCTTTCATCATAAGAAGAAAAAAATTATAAGAAGTGATGGGAGTCTGAAATAAAGTTGTTTTTAGACCATATATAATTATGTGATTATCTTAAAATTTAACCAGTCATTTGCTAGTATATCTTTTAACTGATCTCCAAATTAAGAATATTTTAGACTTGTACCACTTTCCCCTTTATGATGTAATCATTATGTTATAATTATCCTGAAAAAAAAATAATACACATTTTTCTTTTGCTTATAAGTCATAAAAAAAAAAATTTTAAAAGATGAATAGACACTAATTTATATATTATTGTCGTACGAAAGGGGAGGGATCTACTATTGAATGTGGGATTTGCATAGGTCATTCCACTATCATTTTCCCACTACCAAAAAGATAAAATTAAATTTTTTAAAAAATAATTAAGAGGATTTAATGCAAAAAGTAATGAGACTAGTACTGTACTATTGTTGTTCATTTTGTCCAATGTCAAACCAACAAACCTTGTAACAATGTTGTCAAAAAGAAAAAAAATTATTTCTTATTTTTTATTATAGTAAAATAACTTTAGTTTTATGTTTTTAACGGTAATAAATATACATATTATTTAATAAAATGTTAAAGTCTTTAGTAATATTAGTTAAGTATTATCACTATATCTAATGCTGCTAAAGGCTTTAGAGACATATAAAAAAAATGATAATTATTGTTAATCGTTACTTTATATTGTTGAAGATCAATATAAAGTCTCATGATTCAAAACCACCTACTTCGTCACTAAATTATATTCTTGAGTGTTGATAAGACATATTTTTACGATTAAAATGAGACTTGTTAAAGCAAATATGAATTAATTAAATTTCAAATAAAAAGAGAAAACAAAGAGAGAAAAAAAGAAATAAATAAAGATAAATGTGGCTAAACAAAGGTCAAAACAATCATCGATTCATGATCATGCTAGAATAAATATAAATATCAAAAAGAAGAAGATAGAACCATAATGTTGTCTACTTGTGCTTTGTTAAAAAAGTGTTTAATAAAATATACACTTATTTTATTTTATTTTCAAAGCCAGAGAGTGACAGCTTGGAATGACAAGTGGCTGGTGTCGTTACCAATTTTGATTTCACCAAGCAAAGAGTTTAAATAAAAATGATATTTTGTTTCTACGTAAGTGTTACATTAGCTCATTTCACCTTCATTAAAAATAATACATATATATAAAATTTGTTAAACTATTTTTATTTATTAAATATTTTTGGAGAATCGACAGTATAAAAAAGATGAGGTTTTTTTAATGTAAGGTAATAATTTTTTTTTTGACAAATTTTTAAATTACAATGACACTTATTTTAGAAAAAATAGAGTAAGTACATCTTGTGTGTGTACGTGTCTTCCTCTAACTAAATGAAAAAATTCTTTTGTAATGGGCTGGGCGGCCAAGTTCTATAGTATTCCATTCAATAGAATATGGATTGATTTTAAGAAAATTTTCAATCATTATAATAAATTTAATTATATTTTAAAATTATAATTCGTATGTTTACGAGTTATTGCTTCAGCTTAAATTATTTTGTTTGTGTTATTTGCGGGTGAGTTTGTTAAGTTCACGTTTGTATTAATTGAGCTATTTTAGTATAAACTTGAAATAACAATTTTACACAAATAGAAACATCTGAACTTTAAATAGATATACAAATTATATCATTCAAAAATTATACAAATTACGAATTATACAAACTCAAAATCCTACTCTACATAATTATCGTTGAATGTTAATCACAAATAGTAATTGATTAAAATTATAGTTATAATGACTAATTAACTAGGTATATATTTACTAAACCATGTAATTTTTCTTTTATTGTTTAAGTCTTTTTGCTCATAATTTGTGTTGCAATATGTTTATATTTATCTGATATTCCAAGAAGACATCTTCTTAGCAAAGAGAACAATTTGGTTTCTAAATATTAAAGGTGGGGTTAAAATTGGCCATTAATTTATCGTTAAAATATAGACTTTTTTTTTACTATTGAAATTATTTGCTCATCTGTCAATACGTAAAAGATATTTAATTTAGATTATATGAGTTGTTTTTCTTGGTTAAGTTGATCAACAAACATATTTGGCCCTCAAACCTAAGATATTAGGTCAATTCAAAATATTAGGACAGTTCTTTAGAGTCAATAGCAAGAGCTTTATTTATTTTACAATTCATATTTTACAAAAAACATGCAAGAATTTATGGTGGTTTATTGATAGATTAATATGGAGAGTCTTAAGGTGGATATCTAGGCATCCATAAACGAGGATGGACGTAGTAATGGATGAAACACTGTTAGAATCGAAAATTTTACAAAGGGTGTCTACAAATTGCAAATACACGAGCTCTGTTGGCCCATTTGAGACATTTGTAACCACTGGATTATTATAGCTTACTTTTTCAAAAGCATTCAAAATATGCTATTTAATCACTTCGTGAATTATTTTACTTGTATTTACTGTATTTTTTTGACAAAGGATATCCAATTGGACACCCTAACAATCGTATAGGCTCCCGAGCTGTTGAATATACAAGAGACAACAAAACAAACTAAAACATCTTAGTAGCGAGAGGAAAGAAAGCAAAAGTAATTCCTGTAATTGCACTGAACAAAATGTGAGTGATCTAAACCATGAAAGCAAATTATCATGTCCCTTGGACCAGGCTTAATTATCAGGCCTAACCCATACAATATTTGCTTGCTATTTTGGAAATTACATCACTCAAAGTCATTGTGTTATGGTATTTGTTGGGCTGCGTAAAAATTTCTTATTTTTTGATGAATTATAAAAGGAAATTTTCGCATATATCCATTTAAAAATAATTTAATTATGTTTTATATCTATAATTTGATAATTACGATTCGTAGCTACGAGGGAAAAGAGAGACGAACGAGATTGAGAGAGAGAGTAAGAGAGGAAAGAGAATAGAGGGAAGCGAATTGTATATGTATATCTTGTATATATGTAACTGATATACATAGAGCGAGCTTGGAATGAGAGGAAAGAGGCAAGCGAGATTAGGAGAGGAAGAAGAGAGAATAGAGAGTAAGAGAACTGAATTGTGTATATATATCTGTTAGATAATTATGTATATATATATAACTGATATACATATATATTTGTTTATACGTGTAATTTCCCTATCAAAAGCCCAACATAGAAAAGTTGCGAGTTTGGGGTAGCAGGCCCATCCAATAAATATGGTCAACGCTCAAAATATTGATTAGTTTTGAAAGTAGAGTGGGACGAAATTGCTGGCAAAAATTCTGAGTTTGTGATAATCAAATGGGCTCAGAAAATGGTGATAAATGGAGCAAAACAGCTGTTGTTGTCATAGATATGCAGGTATTTCTCTAATTTTGTTCTGATTCAGCATAGTAATAACAATCATTTGTTGAAAATTGTGTGTTTGAACTTAAATTTCAGAAAGATTTTATACTACCAGATGCTCCTATGCTTGTTAGAGGAGGTGAAGCTATTGTTCCAAACGTTATCAAAACCGTTGAGGTTGCACGAAACCGTGGAATCCCCATTATTTGGGTATTTGTTTAACTTTATGATTTTATTGTGAAGTCAAATTTTTCCATATTGATGTATTTTTACCTAAATTGAGCTTAAATGAAGCACCGAGGATTCATATAGCCGATACCAACTGGTTTGGGACTGAAGTGTAGTTGTTGTTATTGTAATGGACTATTTGAGGTTAAAATACTAGTTTTAATGGATGGTTGAATCAATTTGTGGTAGGTTGTCCGCGAGCATGACCCATTAGGAAGAGATGTTGAATTGTTTCGTAGGCATTTGTATGGTGATGGGAAACCAAAACCCACATCAAAGGGGTGTGTGGGAGCAGAACTGGTTGATGGGCTTGTTATTCAGGAAGGTGATTACAAATTGGTGAAAACACGTTTCAGTGCATTCTTTAACACGAATCTTCATTCGTATCTTCAGGGCATTGGCATTACCAACTTGGTCGTTATTGGTAATTGGATCTTATAATCGAGATTTCGTATAGCTATAGACTTTAGGATTTGAATAACCAATATTTGTGTTTGTATTTGTCAAGTGACGTATATTTTTTGTCTAGGTGTTCAAACTCCAAATTGCATACGACAGACTGTCTTTGATGCTGTAGCATTGGACTATCAACGCGTGACGGTCATTATAGATGCCACAGCTGCTGCTACTCCTGATATACACATTGGTAACAGATAACACAAAGCAGTTGTTTTTGTGCTGGTTTACCTATTGAGTTTTTTAGTTTTAATAGCTTATGACTATTTGTCCTTTAATCTAGGCAAGTTGATTAGTATTGACTGTCAACTAATAACTTCATGCTATTTCTTATTTTAAGTAGTTACGAGTTACAACTACTGATCACTTAACCTGATCATAAGTTCGGACCACAGAGGTCGACTATCTCCTCATTATCGATACATGCTTTAGTGTTTAACCTTGTCTTGTCAAGTTTATTTACAGTTAGTCTCATAGATGAATTTGCTACACATTTGAAGCACCA